GAGAGAGAGAGAGAGAGAGAGAGAGAGAGAGAGAGAGAGAGAGAGAGAGAGAGAGAGAGAGAGAGAGAGAGAGAGAGAGAGAGAGAGAGATTTCCCGAGCCTTTTCCCAAGACGTGCGGTGCATGTAGCAGATTATGCTGGGCCCACACCCCTTGTCTCGAGCCTTTTCCCAAGACTGGAAGCCTGGCCTGGCGGGTCCGTTACGCCAGACCCGGCTTACACTTTAGTAAAAGTATAGAAAAGACACAAACATTAGTCGTTCAGTACATCGGTTAAAATTGGAACAATAAGAGCAAGAAGATCAGCACGGCCCCTGCACAAGGATAACACGGTTAACACTCACAAATCGAGAAATGGTGTATTCTCATATTGCAATTGTCCTTATCTTCTTACCTTTCTTGGTCTTCAGGAAAAATTTGACAGGTTCAGACAGTGGATCTGAGAGGAAAGAGGTAGATGAAAGGCAAGCGGACAGTCAATCCTCCGGTATTGGAGCAATGCATAAGTTGAGATGTATGGCAAAATGCCCCTGAAAGATGTGGGTAGAGCGGAATGCCCTTTTGGGCCGAAATCTTTGTGTTATGGCCCTGTCAGGCGGGTGTCCAAATTTGCAATCTGGACCTCCCCCCGTTTGGGCCTTGGCCTTTTGCAATCTTGCCTAGGCAAAGTTGGCATGTACTGGGGCATTTTCCAAAATTTAACGGCACCCGGTAGGGGTAGATTGCAAAGATGGGGGTCCAACCGATGCTAGGGGAATTTCACGAAATATTTTTTTTTGTCAGAGGGGCATTCCGCTCCACCCACATCTTTCAGGGGCATTTTGGCATATATCTCAACTTATGGGGGTATTTTGCAAATTATCCCTTGTTTTTTAATAAGATTTTGTTGCTATTTTTGTGCTGGGCTGTGTGTCCGATTAACGAGGAACGGACGAAATTAAACGCCGTTTTTCCCGTTGAATCGGCCCCGGGACCCCCATTCAATCCCATTTAACGGAAAAACGGGGGTGTCCCGTTGAATTCCGAAAAACGGAATTGGCGGGTTGGGCCTCGGACAGATGGCCCTACGTGTCCAAACACTGAAACCGGAAAAAATAATATTAAATTTGACACCCCCCTTGCACCCCCTATGGCCCCACCCGTCGGCCTTTAATGATGCCCCAGGCCTCCAGAACCCCCAAAAGACCCCCACAAGCGGCACG